CATAAAAAGTCATTAGAGGTGGTCAACAGTGTTATATGTAAGCAGTAATTAAAAGACTTAAAATATGACAAAAATAAAAAATTGTTATCAATGTTGTCATATAACGTTTCACCAGAACATCTAAGTGCCTGATTAAGTGTTGAAAAAAAAAACTGTGTGTGTATATTTAAATACATAAAATGAGGTATTTGTTGGTAAATACTTTATTTTATTGAACTGTATGATTAATATTGTTTATTTGTTCAATATTCTCTGGGCTACAGTACTTTTTAATCCTAATATATTGTGTATACATAGAAATAAAGTTATTTTTAAAGTCATCGATATTTTCTCTCGATGACTTCTATTAACTAATATATCTAGCCCTGTAAAAAGTCTCTGAATAACATTAAGAAAGAAACGGCAACGTGTTGACAGTAAATATTATAATAATGTTAACAGCAGATTCTGAAAAAAATAAATTTTTTTCTGTATTTAAAGTTACCATTTTTATTCTGTTACGATACAGCGAAAAACAATCATCTGTTGAATGCTCAACCATGTTTACCTTCAACACCCAAAATATCCCATCTTCTGATGGCTCGAGTTACCTCCAAAAATGACGCTATCTACTTTCTTGCTGTTGTTTTTACCAAAGTCTACTTCATTAATGAAAGTTTATTTCATCAAAAGGAAAGTTAAGAAAACTTATAAGATTGTTGAAGGTTTTTTTTCCACTTTTCTGGCACCTTTAATAACTGCAGCATAAAACTTTTGTGTACATTTCCGAAGTAAAAAAAGATTTTTTTTTTTTGAACTAGATGACTAGACAAAGGAAAAAAAATTGAGGGAAAAGGTTGGACCCGAACAACCGAAAAAAATGTTTGCCTAAAAACAACCTGTAATCCAGCTTATTTCACTCGGCAGGGAGTCATCGAGTAGTAAATAAAGATAGGTTTGTTGCGTAATCAAATAATGCAGCATTTTTCTACACCTCAGTGCATGTAAATAGTTGACAAGAAAAATAAAAACCAAAAAAGAAACGGGTTAAAAAAAATAAAATGACCTGAATTATCGTTTTTTTCTCTTTTTTCTTCTTATTGCTGCTGGTGTTGTTGCTGTTTTTTTCTTTCTGAACTCAACAACAAATACTTCAAATTGGTGGCATATCCAAT